AGATCATGCTATTAATTCTCAGTCTTGTGTGGAAAAGAAGAGAAAACGAGCAAAGGCAGAAAAGAGATCGATTGCAATTGTATGCTGCTATTCATGTGTGTGATATATGGAATGATCAAGTAAAATTATGAATGAAACTTTTTCAGTACATTTCTTTGAATTTACCGAAGTTACCTATTTTTACTATTATTCTGAATCATAACCATAGAAATCTCAGTAAATTTTGAATTATAAGTGCATATACGGATCACTCAAAAGAGTGTTAGTTATATTGACTGGTATCTTGTATAACTTCATTGGGGGAAACAATCTTGATTCATGAGTTTAATTCTTTACCATGAGCTTATTTAAGTTTTTCCCATGGCAGGAGAGGTGAGGAGCACTCATTCATTCTCAAACCAGCATCTTCTGTAAAGGATTCCAAGGTTCACAAAGAAAGGCTATCCCCATTATGCGGTCTTCATCTTGTACCAAATACTATGGAAGGAAGAAGTGCGTTGAATGCTGATCGGTATGCAATTATGATATCTTGTTGCTGAAACTACACTGGTATTCATTATTTTTGTGGTTTGCTTCACCATCTAAACTATTTGAAGTGCTTGTTTATTTACTTTAACCAATCTTTTGTTTCATGCTTCGTGTTGAATGTAGAGTCAAGGCTTTTTTTTAAGCAGCCAACTAGTTGGTGACCAAATATCCCAAGGGATCTTTTGATCTCTGTTGCATCTGAAATGTGGGAACAATCTTCTGGACCCAATGGGAAAGTCTCTTGGCTTCCTGTTCAGGTTGTTCTTCTTTTGCATTTTTTTCACTTTGTTGAAAATGTTTTTTTCTCGTCTTCTAAAGCTGTTGTCAAATTCCCAGGTTTTAGCATTACAGGCTTCTAATTTGACATCTGAAGATCTAACTCTGACTGTTCTCGCCCTCCTCATTTACTTCACCTCCATCAGTGGGATCATTGACTTCTACCCCAACAACACCAATGAGCTCATTTGTTGGTTTGTCCGAGCCTGCAGGTATAATAACTGGTGAGAAATACAGCTCTGCCGTGCAGGCACTATCCTCTGTGACTACCATGTCGGAGAATATGAAATGGAATAGTGATGGAGTTCAGTCTGTTTCTTTTATCGAACAGTCTTCTCCCATATCTGATGTGATTTCGAGTACAGGCTTGGGTTGCATGCATCTGTGGCTGCAGAGTAGAGTTCCATTAGGGTAATGTATCTCACACTCTTAAGCTCATTTCTTTATTGGACTCTGATCTGGACATATTTTTACAACTTAGGTGATTATACAGATGTGTACCTGTTCAATCTGTGACTACCATCAAGCTTGAGCTTCTTCCTTTGACTGATGGGATAATTTCCATCAACACTTTCAGATAGATGTTAAAGAGAAAGGTATCATCAACTTACATATATCGTGGATTTCATAAATTTTTTGGATTGTATAAAATAGGTTTGTTCTTTTTTTCTTCTGCTGTCAAAAGCTGAACCCTTTCATCAATTATAATGAATTCTCATTTACTTGATTTTTTTCCCTGAAAAAACTTGACCAATTTTGACAAATACTGCCACCCTCCCCTTTAAAAGCTGAACCATTCAATTATTACGCTGAATTCTCATTTTTTTTATAAAAAAAATGTTGATCAATATTGATGCAAACTGCCATCCTCTTCCCTTATAGTAGGCATAGAAGGATATCTCTTGCAAGAATATGTCTTTTGATATTTTTCTGAGAAAGTAAAAAATTATATATTTAAACTGCATGCTCCAAGTGGTCTTCTGCGGAATGTATGCCCTCTTGCTCTCAAATGCTGAATTTTCTTATGTATAACTTGTCTTCTCTCACCATCTCTTCAAATAAAACATGAAAGCTGATGCCATCCTGTAATGTTATTGAATGTTTTGGGAATTGAAGATGATTCTCCACGTCTGGGTCATAAATGATTTTTTCTAGATTAACGTGAGTGTCTAAGCTAGCTTACGCTTACCTCGACTAATTCCACGAGCTCTAAAGTTAACGACTATGTAAGTTTTTAGTGGCTCTGAAGTTTGTGGGGCTCATACTGGTAATTTCTAGAAAGTAAATTCAGGATTTGACCAGTTGAGCTATACTTCTTATAATTAACATATTTATCAGTGTGATCCTGAAGATCATGGTATTTGACTGGCCTTGTTCGTTAATCACCTGGCCTTGGCTTTCAGATATAAGAGCTGCTGGCATCATATTGGAATAGACTTGTTATCGTCTGTTGCTTATGTTCACTATTGGAGTTGACTGCGATAATTGCTCGTATTCAATCTGTGTACCGCTATAATCTACATGCTGGCAGGCTCTGCTTCTATGAAGATCTAAACTTCTTGGGGCAACTACTTTTTTTGGTGCAGGTCTAACCTACATTCCTGAGCACGCCCTGAAGATAAATGCAACTTCCAGCATTTCCACAAGGATCATCTAGGATTGAAGATGTATTTGTTGATTTCCATTGCTTACCAGAGTTTATCTTCAACCATGTGAAGAGATTTAGAGGGCTGTACTCTTTGTAGATAAATCGAATTGTGTATTATATTCTTTTAAAAACCTTGTTTACTACTAATACGAAAGGGGTGCACTGAAATTTTCTGAGGAAAGGAGGATCCGTGTGTTTATGGCTGGCATAAAAGCAGAGTTAGACTGATGTCCAAGAGATTTTTTTTTTTTTTGGGGATCTGGTTCATAAAAGCAGAGTTCGCCGCTGTCCAATTGTTCGTGATTTGCAATGTTTTTTGTTTCTTTGTTTGGTAACGAGGTGTAAAAAAATTTTTTATTTAAAAATATATTAAAATAATTTTTTAAGATTTTTTTATTTATCATATTAGCACATCAAAATTAAAAAAAAATCAAAAAATTAATTAAAGTTTTTTCACATTTGTAAATGAATGTTATTGTATTATTCATCATTTAAGCCTTTTTTTCTCATTGAGAAAAAACGTAAAATTTGTAAAAATAAAAAATATATAAAATGGTAAATCATGATGGATGAGAGATGCCAAGCGAGGGGACCTGAATGTCAAGCTTCATCGATATTTAACGTGTAAAAGTAAACGAACGGATGTGATTCAGTAACAAGGTTTAATAAAAGGGGTCAAAGTAAGAATATTAACTAATAAGGGACCTCGTTAAAAAAAATGAAAAGACAAGGATGTTCGTGCTAGTTAACCATGGTTGTCAATATCATTCCGTTCCATCCGATCCGGTATGTCCGAGTTCTATATTGGTTAAAAAATAAAATAAAAAATATTCATATATTTTATATTATTTAAAATCTCATTTTGTAACGTCTTCGAGTCGCTTTACCCATCATTCCATTTCACCGGTTAAAGATAGACCTTTTCACCAAAATTCTTCATTACATCACTTATAATATTGATCAAATTTGATCTAACAAAATTATGTACAAATTTTATTGAATCTTATTGCTTGATGTTTGTGAAAATTAATCTACTGTTTGAATAATATTATTTTTTTTTAAAAAATTATGTTTTTTTAACTATAGATAGACACTCTTAATATACTTGTAAAATATTACGAATTTACTATTTATTTTAAACAATTTAATTATAATTAAAGATTAATTGTTTTTTATTTTTTGGATATGGTAAAATTAAAAAAAAGGGATTAAAATAAAAATAACACCAAACATTTACGTATTAGGAATTTTATAAAAAATATACTTAAGTTATCGATCTTCATATATAACTTTATTTATATAATTTAGATACATTTAAATTTTTAAAAATCATCTTTTATACTAAAATTTATCCATATAATCTTTCAATCTGGGTTAAAGAGAAAAAAAAAAGATCATTAAATTTTAATGATAAAAGATAAAGTCATTATTTAAATTATTTCTGATCATTAAAATAAATTTTTCTGGTTTCAACAGGTTCTACTCAATAAAATAAGTTTAATAATCATATTTTAGAACCTCAATATTACTTTAAAAAAAATCTAAATTAAGAGAAATAAATTTAATATAGTTTGATTTTGAGTTTTGTGGTTTGATGGGTTATTTGTAAATATTCAAAGGATACTAATAAAGTTTTTGGGATTGAAACAATTTTAAAATAAGTTTTTATAGCAAGTGAAACATTGCTTTTATTTTTTCAGCTATCATAGTGGTTAGTGGTTGCTGGAATCTAGATTTGCAAGCAATAAATTATTTATGTATTTTTTTTAATATGAAAGATAATAGGTTATTTGTTTATTTAAAAAATAAAAAAAATATTATTTTGTTATTTTATTCAATCAATTTAATATTTATAATATATGCAGTATCACATAATATTTTTTATTTTATTTTTTTATATTTTTTATATTGTTAATATTTTTTTTATTTATTAACATATTTTTTTATTGATTTATTTAATTACATAGATGCATAAATTTTTTTATTTATATTTAATTTTTTATCTATAAACATATATTGGAAGAACTTGTATGTATCATTTTTTTAAAAAAAAATATCTGATTTACAATAAAATATCAAATATCGATCAAATAGCTAGTTTTTATATATATATATATATATATATATAATATGTAATGATGCAATAACATTAGATTGCATGTATATATTATTACTTAATTAACTAAGTTTTTTATACGTACTGGAATAGAAAATTCATCAAAAATAATAATTTTTAAATATATAAACATCATGCTATATATTATAATATTAACTTCGAAATAGAACATTGAAATAAATCGATATTGAACCTTCTCGTATCAATTGAAAAATCAAGAACCTCCTCCGGAACAACCTTGTAATTAACCCAATGTAAATTGGATCGAGGGATCATATTAAAATACTTTCTTGAGTAGAAGGATCAGATAAGAAAGAGTAAAAATAGTTGAGTGGGCACATTATGAAAATATCAAGGGTGAAGGGACTAAATGTACAATCAATCCTCCGTGCTATTATCGAGAGAGCAGCGAACATTTCCTGGTCTTAACTGATTAAAAATATGAAAAATAGAAGACCAAACTATGTTGTTGTCTGTGTCAATGGTTTCCACAGTTTGATTATTTTTAAAAATCTTTAAAAAGGGGCCATCAGTTTTTATCTACCTGACGTGATCTAGTCTTTCCTTTTCTTTTCTCCTTTTCAATTGGGTTTGTGGGTATTGAAGAGAAATTGCTAAATTGGAAACCTTTCATTTTTGGATGTGGCAAGTGGTGGGATTTGGGGTGTTAGTTTGATGAAAAGTGGGTTTTGGAATTTAGGGTTTTTGAAGAGGAAAGGAGAGGATGGGTTTAGGCAGTGAAGAAGGTAAAGTGAAGTCTTCTTGGGATGTGTGCAAATCAAAGGAGAGGAAGAAGAAAGATGGTACAAAGGCGGGGTGTTGGGTCAAGTTAAGGCTTGTTGGGAGCTGCATTTCGTCAAGATCCAAAGTGGATAGCTCTGTTAGTGGGACTAGTACCCATTTTGGTAATTCCGATTTCTATTCACTTCAATTTTTTTTTTGGGGGTTCGATCAATGTGGATTATTTGTTTTAGTTCAATCAGTTTATCAGTTAAAATTGGCACGGTTTCCTTCCTGGGATGTTTGTTCAACCAAGAATGGTTTTGCAACCGAATGTTTAGTTTCTATGTGCGTGTGTGCGCATAACAGTGACTTTTAAAAGGAACTATCAACACCTATTTTCACTGCTTGCACCATTTACAAGCTTCATGAATACCGAAGCTTGACTTGGCTGTGAGATCCATTGACAGGGTGAAGGTTTTTCTATGAAAACTTGGAGTCCTGAGATTTTGCAGAAACTACTTCAGGTCATGCTAGACATAAGTTGTTTTCTTTCCCGCAGTTTATCGCAAGCATGCAGAATTACTATTTGGAGAGTCATCCATAACAGTTTTTTGTTTATTTTATATCCGCTAGCTCGGGGAAGCTGTTATTTTTAGTTCAAGCGGAAAATAAGGGAAGGGAATTTTTCCGTTTTGGTGCCTGACTGAGTCATTTATTTAGTTGATTGACATGATGTTTTTGGTTAGATTTGGTTCTTTAATTTCTTTTTACCTTGGTGTTCTGGTCAGAGCTTTGCAATAAATGCTTGGTATCTTGATTTCCTTGATAGTTTTTTTTTTATAATAATTATGTTCCTCGTTTCCAAAAGCAGGCTTGACTAAATTCTTAACCTTATAGTGATGTAGATAATTCTGATTTAAGTTTATCGAACTTGCTTTTTTTATTTCTTATCTGTTGAAAACATTGCCTTAGTTCGAATCAGCTTCAATCCCAAATTAGTGTTGAAAAGATGTGTATAGTTCATGGCTTTGGCAGAAAGTAGGACCAGCTGTTTCATCAGTTTGTTTGAAACAAACTCCTTCAAATGATTGCAGCCATTTCCAGAATCTCAGAAAAATTGCAGTGGGTTTGGAATAATTATTAGTGTGCTGGTGATGGTAGCATGACTGATGAGTTGGTAGGTGTGTAATGGAAACATTCTAGTGGTGATAATAGTGGTAAAGATTGGGTTGCTGAACTGCCCAATGGATTTAAGGAAAATTTTACCAGGTAAAGGATAGATACTTTGGTTTCAAAGGCACTTGGGATAGGGGATGTGTGAGGTTGGAAGAGTGACTATCATGGTTAGTTTAAATAGCAGAATGAGGGAATCTATGATTTGTGTATGTGGAGCGTTCAAGTTAAAAGAAACCACGATTATCGTTACAAGCATATATAGTATTACTGTGTAGTTTCATTTTTGTTGAATATAGATCTACATGCTGCACTGTAGTATATATTTCCTTGTTAGTTTTTTATTATAACAATTATGTTCCTCGTTTCCAAAAGCAGGCTTGACTAAATTCTTAACCTTATAGAGATGTAGATAATTCTGATTTAAGTTTATCAAACTTGCTTTTTTTTTATTTCTTCTAAGAAATAATTTTTTTCTTATTTGTTGAAAATATTGCCTTAGTTCGAATCAGCTTCAATCCCAAATTAGTGTTGAAAAGATGTGTATAGTTCATGGCTTTGGCAGAAAGTAGGACCAGCTGTTTCATCAGTTTGTTTGAAACAAACTCCTTCAAATGATTGCAGCCATTTCCAGAATCTCAGAAAAATGGCAGTGAGTTTGGAATAATCATTAGTGTGCTGCTGATGGTAGCATGACTGATGAGTTGGTAGGTGTGTAATGGAAACATTCTAGTGGTGATAATAGTGGTAAAGATTGGGTTGCTGAACTGCCCAATGGATTTAAGGAAAATTTTACCAGGTAAAGGATAGATACTTTGGTTTCAAAGGCACTTGGGATAGGGGCTGTGTGAGGTTGGAAGAATGACTATCATGGGTAGTTTAAATAGCAGAATGAGGGAATCTATGATTTGTGTATGTGGAGCGTTCAAGTTAAAAGAAACCATGATTATCATTACAAGCATATATGGTATTACTGTGCAGTTTCATTTTTTGTTGAATATACATCTACATGCTGCACTGTAGTTTATGCTTCAATTTTTTTTCTTATTTACCATTTTAATTATGATATGGGTTGGGCGTCACATCTCTTTGTCAAACCTGCACACAGTGGCATGAAGTTTAGCATTTTGAAAAGCTGGGGTGGTTGTATCCAGAAGGGATTGTAGCGCACAGTGCTATATTTGGCTATTTCAGTGTTATGATTATCATCTCTTAAGATTTCATTTTACAGTAGTCTGTATTCTAATAGTGTAAGTTTTTGAATCAACAGAAAGTAAATCCATAAATGATGCAAGCACAGACCAACCAGCTGCTCCTGTTGTCTCATCCTCAACCACAAGTAACACAGAAAGTAATTCATCCCTTTCCAAACTTGAAGAGGAGCTTAAAGTTGCTTCTCGACTGCGGAAGTTCACATTTAATGATCTCAAGCTGGCAACTCGAAATTTTAGACCTGAGAGTCTTCTTGGTGAAGGTGGCTTTGGTTGTGTTTTCAAGGGATGGATTGAAGAAAATGGAACTGCTCCGGTGAAACCTGGTACCGGCCTTACCGTTGCTGTTAAAACCCTTAATCATGATGGGCTCCAGGGTCATAAAGAATGGCTGGTACCAGACTTTCCTAATCTATTTACTTAACATATAAAAATTCACTATCATATTTTCTGTCTTTTCATTTTCAATATTTTGTTTCCAAATCATTTGGATTTCTTGCTCCTAGGTTTGCTTTTAATTGTTGAATCTGCGTGGCAGGCTGAAGTCAATTTCCTTGGTGATCTTGTTCATCCTAACCTGGTTAAACTGATTGGTTACTGCATTGAAGATGATCAAAGGCTACTAGTTTATGAGTTCATGCCTCGAGGAAGCTTGGAGAACCACCTGTTTCGACGTATGCAACCACCTTTTGCCTTTCTTGTTGGCCCTTTTTTATCTCCCTTAAAAAAAAAATTATGGTTTCTAGTATGAAAGTAATTTAAAATGTGCGGTGAAAAATTATTCTCCCTACCCTTTTTCTCTACAGTAATGAACTTTTCCAGAATAGAAATTACAAAAGCATTTACATAAAATATCTGTGGACATCAGATAAGCAATGCTTGCACGGGAGATTGGTTGTGTGTATTTATGTGTATGCATGAACATATCTCTATTTATCAGTGGATGCTTGTATGTAAATATGAATCTTTTGTGTATTAGTATTATTCTATAGAGACTGGATGTGTTTATGTTGGATGACGGTTCTTGCAGAAGTGAATCAAATCCATGCTAGATCATTGGTGGTGAAGCTCAGGATGAGCTGTGAAAATTTTGAATTCTGTCATGTTTACCTAAGGCTACAAAGTTGTGAAAAGTTCTAGCAAATCATCAAACTTGTATCAGATTTGTATAGATTTTTGTCAAACCACCAAGTTTAATAATGAAAAGTAACACAATGAAACAGCTGAATTTTATAAAATGGAGCTGTTTTATTACCACCCTTTCATATATATGATTTTGATACGCTGATGCTTTTTCTTACATGGCTGGAGTTGTATTGACGTTGCCTGGTTTTGCTTTGTTGCACAATTTGCTTATTAAACATCATTCATTTTTTATGGAAATTTTATATGCAGGGTCCCTCCCTCTTCCATGGTCTATAAGAATGAAAATCGCTCTTGGTGCTGCCAAAGGTCTTGCCTTTCTTCATGAAGAAGCTGAAAGGCCAGTGATTTATCGTGATTTCAAAACCTCCAATATATTATTAGATGCGGTACATAATATAACTATAGCAATATTTTTCCTCTTCCTCTTCTTCACTTAATTGGTGCATCCTACTAATCAAATTCTGTATCAGGATTACAATGCCAAGCTTTCTGATTTTGGACTTGCCAAAGATGGTCCTGAGGGAGATAAGACCCATGTATCAACCCGAGTGATGGGAACTTATGGTTATGCAGCCCCAGAGTATGTAATGACCGGTAAGCATGATTTTCTCTTAATCTGTTGTCATTTTCTCATCCTAATTTGATGAAAGATTTATTCTTTTCCCTGAAAGCCTAGATATGCATATCTAGCTTTCTTTTAAACCCTAATTGCCTGCGTTACAGTCGTATTCCAGTTGGCTCTGGGAAAAACTCAAAGCTTTTCTGCATGAATTAGGAGGATAGATTTTGTATCTGTTCTCTGCATGTACCGAAGTGTTTATATATTTCAGAGCCCAGAGTTGAATTGAACTCCATGCGAGGCTGATTAAATTGGCTAGGGAGGATTTGGTGTAAAGGGGAGGGAGGGAAGGGAAGGGAAGGGAAGGATTTTGAAGGGTGCATGCCCCTCGTATAATAAGAACTATCAAGCCTCAAATTGGGAGTCGAAAGCAGTAAAAAAATCCAACTCGATCTCTCTATTCTTAAATAACAAAACACTCTTAATTTAAAATCAGAAAGGAACTACATTCCCCTCATCAAAAACATCCTCTTCATCAGTTATCTCTGGCCCCCCTTCCCCTCTCCTAGACCGACACATTTGAACCAGAGAAGGGCATTAACCCTACCGTTCCTTCTTTCTGTACCTTTACAAATCCTTCTGTCCTTCCTGTTTAGGTAATTATTATTTTTTTATTCTAGATAATAGATAAAAATGACAGACAATATTGGATTTGCATGTATCTGTAGTAGGCATCCATTGTATGCGGTCCAGTAGCATGATGTGCCTCCAGGTAGTCAGTCCTGTTCATATTAGGTAGGAAAGTTTTGCAACATTCTTCAGCTGCTGCATGTGATCATTATTACATCAAGGTTAAACGGGCAAAAACACTTCTGTCAGGACATCTTACGTCAAGGAGCGACGTCTACAGTTTTGGTGTGGTCTTGCTTGAAATGATAACCGGCAGGAGATCCATGGATAAGAACCGTCCTAATGGAGAGCATAATCTTGTTGAGTGGGCGAGGCCATATCTAGGGGAGAGAAGAAGATTCTACCGGCTGATAGACCCTCGACTTGAAGGTCACTTTTCAATAAAAGGTGCCCAGAAAGCTGCACAGCTGGCTGCTTATTGCCTTAGCAGGGATCCTAAAACCAGGCCTCTAATGAGTGAAGTGGTCGACACATTGAAGCCTCTGCCCAACCTCAAGGACATGGCGAGCTCATCATATTATTTCCAGACCATGCAAGCTGACCGGGTTGGGTCTAGCCCAAATGCCAAAAATGGTGTCCGCGCACAGGCTGGATTGTTATCTCGGAATGGGCACCAACAAAGGAGTTTTTCAATACCACATGGTCCCCATGCTTCTCCTTTCCACCATCAATATCCCCACCAATCTCCAAGACCCTGTGGTAAACCATAGCGCACAGGATCAGCGAAGTATCTGCTTCTTTTAGCTGCCTCTTGTCATTCAATTTCTTTTTTCACCCCTTTCTTACTAAGATGTATTTTCTGGGGAAGCATTTGTTCTTGTACAACTGAGAAGGCAACTGAGAAGGTAAAGGGGGGACATGACCCTATATGTTGTATTTAGAATCTTAGTCGATTGCCCTCTACAGTCCAGAAAATGTTAAGGAATATTAAGTCCTGTCTGATTGAATCGTTTTTCATAACTCGATTGGAAAAATCTGAGTGGCAATGTTTCTAAGCTCCATAATAACTCGACGTTATTCAGCCAGACAGGTATAAATTGCCTCTTTCAATCAACAAAGAATGGTGAGAAGGGTGGTTAAAAGATTATAGCATGTGAGAACAAACGTCCAATTATATGGGTATTGTGAATAAAGTTTATTCATGTACTGTGACTATCACATGTACTTATGTAAGGATCTCAGCCTTGAAGACCACTTCTTGAGTAACTTCTAGCGATCATTCGTCGTCGTCTAAATAGTGATTCATCTCACCCAGTTCGCCTTGTCAATTGCTCTTTGGATGTGCTCTCAAAAATCTTATCTGCATTTCCAACCTCAAACCCATCTCGCCTGTGAAACTCCTTGACCTGTTGAAGATGGTGATAGAAGTTATTACCTCGTAATTGAGCATAAAAGAAACAATTCATTTCTTGACAGTCAGATTAATGAGGATCTTGATGTCTATCAATCAGACTGCTCTGGTAAAAATCCCCAATATGGCAGTGATCTCAATAGGCTTGGGAGAATCAAAGTGAAAGAAAATATCATTTCAAGGCAAACACAAGGGAATCCTTTACCTCTTCCTTGCGTAGATTTTTGTGTTGTGGCAACACAAGGCGTTCGGCAAACTCTATGTATGAGCAGGGAACTGATTCAGTGAAGCCATCAGAAAACTTGAAAGAGATTGAGTCGGCTACAGTTGAGCTTTGAAGCAGGAGACCATCAGGGCTCACTAGCAGTGGAGGAAAAAAAATCATTTAATTATTATCAAACCTCTCAGAGAAAGAGTACGCAATTCGAAACCAATTATAAATAACTAGTACAGTGAATACAGCTACAATATCTAAAACAACATACTATACTTAATCTATGACAATAAGAGTATAGATGAAGTCGCTCCACTCTCTCTGAGAACACTATTTATGGTCCCTTGGCTGGCAGTGCTAAAACAAATTCAAAAGTAGCTGAGATGCATGGGAAGCAGGGGGGGGGGGGAAGGGGAATTTGAAAATTT